TAAAGGATATAGGGTTTCTTTTGGGGTGACAGAAGTGTTTTAGAACTAGACAGATGTGGTCGTCACACAACATAGGGAAGGTGTTAAGTGCTACTTAACCGAACAATGTAAAATGTTAATTTTATGTGATGTAAATTTCACCTCTATATTTAACATTAAATAATGTCCCTCCCGCTCTTAAAATCTTCCCATGGTTCTACATTTCCTTAGAATAAAAGCCAAACTGCAAAGATTGTCGAACGCTGGCCCCATCTCTCGCTGTTCTCCTTGGTCGCCATAAACTCCAGACTCACAGACACAGGGGCAGCTCCAGGGAGCGGCTCCTACTCCCTGATGTTCCCACCTCTGCCCGGGCTGCTGCCCTCGCCCAGAGCCTCTTCTCCTGCCAATCCCTGGCTGTCTCCTACTCATTCTTCAAAACGCAAACCACCCCCAGGGAAGCCTATTTGCTACCCAATATGGTAGCCAGTAGCCACATATGGCTACTGAGACCTGGAAGTATGGCTGGTGTGACCAAGGAATTGAATTTTAATTGACTTGTATTAATTTTAATTTAAATGCCCATATGTGGCTAGTGCCTGACATACCGGATTGTGTAGCTCTAGACAGGTGGTTCTCAAATTTTAACCTGCATTATCACCCAAAGGACTGGTTAAAACCCAGATTCCTGGGACCCATCTCAAGTGTTTCTGATTCTTTTGGCCCAGGGTGAAGCCCTAAAATTTGTACTGTTAACAATTTCTCAGGTGGTGCTAATGATGCTGGTTGGGGAACCACACTTTGATAACCATTGGTCTAAAGTTGAAAGTTCTACCCTCAGATGATTCTAGACTCATGGTCTAGATGTAGACGTTCTGGACTGGTGGTTCTCAAAGTTCGGTCCCTGGACCAGCCACATCAGCATCACCTAGGAGTGCCCTAGAAATGCAAAACCCCCATCGGCAACCCAGCCCTCTTGGGTCAGAACTGTATGTTAGCAAGATCCCCGGGGGACGGTCTACACACTTTAATTTTAAAATCAAAGAAACACTATTCTAGACTGTCATTCCGGTCGGGGCTTTGTTGATCTTTGTAGCACCAGCACTGAGCATAGTTCCTGGCACACAGTAGGTGCTCAATAGGAGGAATAGAAAACAGTAGGCGCTCAACAAATGCTTGCAGGAGGAAGGAAGGAAAGGAGAAATGAAGGTTGCCCAGCTAGTAAATCTATTTTTCTTTTTCTTTTTTTGACAGAGTCTCACTCTGTTGCCCAGGCTGGAGTGCAGTAGCACAATCTCAGCTCACTGCAACCTCCTCCGCCTCCCAGGTTCAAGCGATTCTCCTGCCTCAGCCACCCGAGTAGCTGGGATTACAGATGCCCGCCACCATACCTGGCCAATTTTTGTATTTTTAGTAGAGACAGGTTTTCACCATGTTGGCCAGACTGGTCTTGAACTCCTGACCTCAAGCTATCTTCCTGCCTCAGCCTCCCAAAGTGCTAGGACTACAGGCATGAGCCACTGCACCTAGCCAGCTAGTAAATGTATTTCTCATCATTCCCTCAAAGAATGGGGTCCCAGTCCACATCCTTAAGCCTGACTCACTATTTCAAAACTGCCTCATAAAGGGAGAAGAGATCAATAAGGCAAGTCCTCAGATAGGAGACCAGCAGGTCAGTTCTCTTCCCCATGGAGAAGCCACTTACTTACAGATCCTTTCCCCTACATCCATGGTCTCCACACCTTCTGGACTTTTAACCATGGGGCTTCTGACACCAGGCTATTCCAGGCTTTCTAACTGAACACTGAAGATGGCAGCCTGGCCCAAGGGTGTCCCAGGTACAGAACAGAGGAATTGTAATGAGCTAATGCAACAAACCACTCCCAGTGTATGCTGTATTTCTCTAGGCTCTTGTTTCTTGACACACCTCCATCCACCTCCAGTCCTCCTTAGCATCTTCTCTTGACCCAACTCTCCAGAAATCACAACTAAATCACAGCATTTTTTAACGGAAGACGACCAAAAAGATCTATGCATATATAGAGAGAAAGAGAGAGAGTGAGAGTGAGAAACACCAATACTCAAAGAGATAAAATAATCTGGTCACTGAGAAGGTTAGCAGGAGCTGGTACTCAGCTCTCCTGACCCCTGACTCAAATTTCCAGACACAAGTTATGGCCACAGTCCAGCAGCCACTTGCTCCTAAAGTTCTGAAGATATCTGATCCAAGGGACATCAGGTTAAAATTGAAAAATAGGCCGGTCGTGGTGGCTCACACCTGTAATCCCAGCACTTTGGGAGGCTGAGGTGGGCGGATCACCTGAGGTCAGGAGTTCAATGCCAGCCTGACCAACATGGAGAAATCCCATCTCAACTAAAAATACAAAATCAGCCAGGTGTGGTGGCGGGTGCCTGTGATCCCAGCTACTAGGGAGGCTGAGGCAGGAGAATCACTTGAACACAGGAGGCAGAGGTTGTCGTGAGCTGAGATTGTGCCATTGCACTGTAGCCCGGGGAACAAGAGCGAAACTCCATCTCAAAAAAATAAAAATAAAAATGAAAAATAAAAATGATAATGACCGGGCATGGTGGCTCATGCCTATAATCCCAGCACTTTGGGAGGCCAAGGCGGGTGGATCACTTGAGGTCAGGAATTCAAGACCAGCCTAGCCAATACGGTGAAACCCCATCCCTACTAAAAATACAAAAACAAAAACAAACAAACAAAAAATTAGCTGAGCATGGTGGCACACACGTGTAATCCCAGTTACTTGGGAGGATGAGGTAGGAGAATAGCTTGAGCCCAGAAGGTGAAGGTTGCAGTGAGCCAAGATCATGCCACTGCACTCCAGCCTGGGTGACAGAGTGAGACTCTGTCTCAAAACAAAAATCAGCATTTGCTTCTCTGCACCAGAATCGAGGTGCACAATGCTTCAGTTTCTAGGTAACTACAATTATCCTGCCAGACTAATACGATGAGGGGAGTGCTAGTGGAGACCACCTGGAGACAGCTGAGGGCCATAGGTCAGGATTGAGTTTAACAGCAGGAAAAACAGCCTGATATGGTTTGGCTCTGTGTCCCCACCCAAATCTCACGACGAATTGTAATCCCCAGTGTTGGAGGAAGGGCCTGGTGGAAGGCGACTGGGTCATGAGAGCGGATTTCCCCTTTGCTGTCCTCATGATGGTGAGCAAATTCTCATTAGCCTTGGCTGTTTAAAAGTGAGTGGCGCCTTCCCCTCCACTCTCTTCCTCCTGCTCCAAACATGGAAGACATACACGCTTCCCCTTCGCCTTCTGCCATGACTGTAAGTTTCCTGAGGCCTCCCTAGCTATGCTTCCTGTACAGCCTGCGGAACTGTGAGTCAATTAAACCTCTTTTCTTTATAAATTACCCTGTCTCAGGTAGTTCTTTATAGCAATGTGAGTTTATTTTCTCTCTTGGAGTATTGGTGTTTTGATTGATTGATAGATAGATAGATAGATTAGATAGATGATAGATGATAGATAGATAGATAGATAGATAGATAGATAGATAGATGATAGATGACAGACAGATAACAGACAGATAGATAGATAGACAGAACAGGCAGATAGACAGACAAATAGACCTTTTTGGTTCCCTCTAATTCAAGAATGGTGCGATTGTGTGTATTAGTCTGTGGACGAATACACAGTCCCAGATCTAAAATTCTGCCTCACACATTCCTCAATGGGGGTAATCTTGCCAGGCCCACCTCTGAACCCCCTTGGACACAAATACCTCCTAAACGTTTAATTTATATGAAACAAACAATACCGGTTTATTGTAGGGGTAAATTCACCCCTTCAACTCTCCTTCCGTTGCCCAGAGGTAATTACTGCTAATGTTTTGTTACCCTTTATTGACTCTTTCAAGATTTTTTTGAGTCTACATATGATTATTTTTTATATAATAAAATCATACTTTACATTTTGTTCCATATTGGAATCTGTTTTATTCATTAAAAAATATCTCATGTAAATGTTTCCAAGTCAATAAATATGAATTATTTTAGTGGTTCTTGGTTATTCCTTTTAACGGAGGTATAATAATTTCTTTAAGCACTATCTTCTTACTAGACACTTGGGTTATGTCCAACTATGAAAAAAAATTCACTGCAATGAGCATCCTTTTTCGTATGTCATTGAGCATGTGCCTAATTATTTCCTTAAGACAAACTCTTACAGGAGGAATTGATGCATCAAAAGATAGGCGTATTTTTCAAGCATTTGGTCCATATGTCAAATTGTCCCCGGCATGGCTGCACTCTCAGAAAGTGAGGTCCTTGTGGGAAAGCTCTCCCAGAGCAGATGGGAGCTGGGCTGGAAGTTGAAAGATGTTGAAATAGAGACAGAGGCAGCTGTGAGAAGCAGTATGGTACAGCAGGGCGAGTACCAACTTTAATTTCAATGGAAAACCTGACTCCCTCCTCACAAACTGTGTGACATGGGCAAATTACTTACCCTCTCTGAGCCTCTCTCTTTCTTCATCTGTAAATGGAGCTATGACTGCCACCCTCTCACTATTGTAAGAACTGGAAACAATGTACATTAAAAACCTTGCACCGTTGTGCACTAAATATTTTTTGAATGGGTAAGTTAATGGATGGATGGATGGATGGATGGATGGATGGATGGATGGATGAATTTTTAAAAAGGAAGGAGGAAGAGCAAGGGAACTCCCGGGATGAAAGTAAAGACAAAGCACATTTGTTGGAATGTTCATAGACTGGCTTGTTGGGTGGAGGGCTCGTCGCCTTTGGGAAGTTCTAGGAGGAAAGGAGAGACAGGGATGGTGCAAACTGAGCAGTCGTTTTCTCCATCACAACTTGTTCCTTCTTCTCTGGGTGCTGGTGACTGGTGAGCAAATGTGTCCCTGTTTCACGATGATTACCCTAAGGCCCAGATATAAGTTGTTCCCCACCCAGAGGCAGAATCCCACACCCCAGCCTGGGCTCAGCATTGCAGTGGGATCCACCAACCCCAGCTGAGCCTCTTACCTCGACGAGCTTGCCACACTCCAGTGAAGGCACCCACACTGCCCGCTAGCTCACACTTCTCAGCCCATGGGCCATTGTCTCCTAGAAACCAGAAAAAGCATAATGGTCACCAGGCTGGTTGGACACTTTCGCTGACCCTCCCACTCTAGCCCTATCTCCCTGTGAAGAGCAGGAACTAGATAGAAAAAGGACTTATAAAGACAAACACGGGCCTGCTGCAGTGGCTCACGCCTGTAATCCCAGCACTTTGGGAGGCGGAGGCAAGCAGATCACTTGAGGTCAGGAGTCCCAGACCAGCCTGGCCGACATGGTGAAACCCCTTCTCTACTAAAAATACAAAAATTAGCTGGGTGTGGTGGTGGGCGCCTACAATCCCAGCTGCTCTGGAGGCTGAGGTACAAAAAACGCTTGAACCCAGGAGGCGGACGCTGCAGTGAGCCGAGATCACGCCACTGCATTCCAGCCTAGGTGACAGAGCGAGACTCCATCTCAAAAAATAAGTAAAAATAAATAAATAAATAAAGACAAATATGATTCCCACTCGTGAAGAACAACCCTTGATATGAGGCCTGTCTCTACTGGGCTTTCAGAGACAAGTGGCCTTTTCTGCCCCAACCCAGCCCCATCGTGAGCCTCTTGCCTTCCTTGCCTTTCCTCCCCTTCCTTCCTCTTTCCTCCCTTGCCTTTCTGTAAGTTTTCAGCAATCTCATTGCCACCATCATCAGCCTCAGTCCAGCGACTATTTATTGAGCATCTATTATGCACCCAGTGTTTCACATACATCGTCTCATAATCCTCCAACATGCTATGGAGTAGATTCTGTTACTAGCTTAATTTTGCAGATGAGGAAAAGGAGGCTTGGCGAGATTACGGGAATTCCCTCAGTAGTAGAATATAGATTCAAATCCTATAGGAGTTTATAACACCTTTGCTGCACGGTAGAGAGTATCGGTCTCTACTTGACCCAAAAGCAGTGCTTCTTTTTTTTTTTTTTTTTTTTTTGAGACAGAGTCTTGCTCTGTCGCCCAGGCTGGAGTGCAGTGACACGATCTCAGCTCACTGCAACCTCTGCCTCCCAGGTTTAAGCGATTCTCCTGCCTCAGCCTCCCGAGTAGCTGGGACTACAGGCATGTGCCAATACGCCCAGATAATTTTTGTATTTTTAGTGGAGACAGGGTTTTGCCATGTTGGCCAGGCTGGTCTCAAACTCCTGACCTCAGGTGATCCGCCTGCCTCAGCCTCCCAAAGTGCTGGGATTATAGGTGTGAGCCACCACGCCTGGCCGAAAGCAGTGCTTTTAACCTCTGTGGTCGCTCCAGACAGAAACTTAAAACACACAATGCATGTATGAGGCCTTTAAAGAGGCCACCAGTTCAGCTCACTAAGGCCACTCAGCCAAAAGACGTGACACGGGGAGTGGCAGCAAGCGGAATCTTTGGGACCAGGGAAGATGGAGAAGAGGGAAATCTTAGAACTGCACAAGGACAACACAGGCTCACAAGGTCAATGTCATTCAATGGCAATTAAGAACAATACCCAGATAGCCTGAATCGACACACAAGGGGCCAGCAAGGCGCCTGCTCTGTGTGTGCAAACCTGCCCAGGGACTTGGCCTTGGAGTCCCCAGTGGACAGGTGCTCAGCATTCAGGCCAGCAAGCCTTATCTGGGCCTCAAGTTCAAAGCAAGTCCCCTGACCTATGAAAGGGGATCACGAGGCCAGACTCTGCTCTTCACAGGTAACGTGCAAGTTTATCTATTAAATGGCAGTTAGGCTGGCTGGCTTTTATTACTTTACCTGTAAACCAGAGGAATGTGTTGTCCTTCGCTGTGTGGTCAACTTTGTCCTTGATCTGGCCAACCAGACCGTCCATCTCCCGGAGCCCTGCACCATACAGCCTTCTGTCCCGTGGGGCTGCTGGTAGCTGAGTCACAGGTAAGGGCACGTGCATGTGAGCCAGAGCCACATATAGCAGGAAGGGCCTCCCGCTGGTGCTGAAACAGGAGAACCAAGAGGTGACTCTTCAGAAGGCTCTCCCGGCTCGTCTGGTGTGCCTCAGGGATCCTCCCTCTCCTCCAGGAAACTCCCCAAAGCTCCTTCTGCCCCATAGGCTCGGGAAGGACACATTTATCCATAACCTTCCAAGGAAATGTGAAAGCAATTCGGTTAGCCGATTAAAAATGAGAACTGTAATAATAGTTACTATCCCTTATCATTTACTGAGAGCTTATTATATGGGACTCACGTTGTCTAGGTTCATCCTCATCATAGCCCCGTTTTTCAGATGAAGAATCAGAAGCTTAGAGATTAAAGGACTTGCCCAGGGTATGCAATTAGTTACGTGTCCCAATCTTGCTCTTAAATGCCACACTGTAAAGTCTAAGGCATACACACACACACACACACGCACACACACACACACACACACACACCCCTTTACATTTTATTTTGCAGCATCCGAACTATCCTGTCCGTTCTCAGCCTCCTTCCTTCCTTCCTTCCTTCCTTCCTTCCTTTCCTTCCTTCCTTCCTTTCTTTTTTCTTTTTGTTTTTTAGACAGAGTCTCATTCTTGTCGCCCAGGCTGGAGTGCAGTGGTGCAATATTGTCACACTGCAACCTACGCCTCCTGGATTCAAGCGATACTCCTGCCTCAGCCTCCTGAGTAGCTGGGATTACAGGTGCCCACCACCACGCCCGTCTAATTTTGTATTTTTAGGAGAGACGGGGTTTAGCTATGTTGGCCAGGTTGGTCTCAAACTCCTGACTTCAGGTGATCTGCCCTCCTCGGCCTCCCAAAGTGCTGGGATTACAGGTGTCAGCCACTGTGCCTGGCCAGTCTTGTTCCTTTCTAAGAGATAAGTGGTTGTCTCAAGTTAATCACAGGAATTCCAAGGACACATATGACCACCAGGTAACATCTAGATCAGGGCTCTGTCAGAGGCCCTGTTGTTCTGCTGCCTCTGTAATAATCCTGATTCCCCTGGAAAGTGCAGAATGAAAGGCTTGGAGGAGCTGGGGTTGTCTCCAAGCAAAGATCCCAGCCTTACTCCCAGCTAAGAGCAGCTGTAGAATCACAACGGTGGCAGGGACCTTCAGGGGCCCCTCTCCCACAGATCCATCCATGGGGGTCTTTCAGAGGACACCAAGCAAGGGTATTGGGAGAGTACAGAATCAACAACATTCCAGTGGGGGGAGATGCATGGCCCTTTCATACCTGTTCACCCAGAGATTCAGCTGGACCCAGGGGTCTCCTTAGCTCACGCTGGTTTACACCACCTCACAGCCTTGCTCTATAGCCACCTGTGCCCTCAAACTCCCCTGCATCCTGGCTCCCAGGGTCTGCCGCCCGGGACTGTGCTTGCACTCAGTTCTCCTTGATAGGCATAAAACCCTGGACACAAGTCCCAAGACAGGGGCCTCTGCCTTCCCCATTTTAATTCACACTTTCTCTGCAACATTGCTAGAGTTGTGTTGTTCAGGGCAGCAGCCACAAGTCACATGTAACTATTTAGATTTAAATTAATGAAAGTTAAATCATAATAGAAGTTCCATGGCTCACACACTAGCACATGGGTGGACCTGGAAAATATTATGCTAAGTGAAATAATCCAGTCACCAAGAAGCAAATAACTGTATGATTCCACTTGTGGGAGGTGCCCGGAATAGTCAAATTCAGAGAGAGAAGGTAGGATGGTGAGTGGCAGGGCACGGTGGGGAAGAAAAACTGGGCAGCGCATGTTTCATCGGTACAGTTTCAGTTAGAAAAAATGAAAAAGTTCTGAAGATGGATAGTGGTAATGGTTGCAAAACAAAATGAATGTTTAATGCCACAGAACTTTACATTTAAAATGGTTAAGATGGTAAAATTTTATCATTATATATATATCTGTATATATTCATACTCACAGTAAAATACACACACACACACACACACACACACACACACACACACACAAATTCCTAGCCACATTTCATATGCTCAGCAGCAGCAGGTGGCTAGAGGCTAGCAGCTTGGACAGTGCAGACAGAAAACATCTCCATTCTTGCCGAGTTTTTTCGTACAGCACTGATTTGCAGTGCCTGGTGACCCCTCTCCCAGGGATGGTCATGTACAGTTGTGCAGGTTGTGGCCTGCATCAGGACATCCTGCTGAGTGAATGGGTCCTTATTTCCAGCTTACAATCTACTGCCTTGGTACCCTGCACAGGGCAGTGCCTAGCCACAAGGGGTGTCTTTTTGTAATTTTCAGGTAGATTCCATATTGCAGTGGTGCCTAAACCTGGCTCAAATTTCAAGAATTTTGCAAACCAGTTGTTAAACACGGCCATTGCTAAAAATTGAATTATATAAGTTTACAATTAAATAAATTTTATTTTTTTGCCGGGCGTGGTGGCTCACACCTGTAATCCTAGCACTTTGGGAGGCTGAGGCGGGCAGATCACTTGATGTCAAGAGTTTGAGACCAGCTGGGCCAACATGGCGAAACCCTACTTCTACTAAAAAATACAAAAATTAGCCAGGTGTGGTGGCAGGCACCTGTAATCCTGGCTACTCGGGAGGCTGAGGCAGGGAGAACTGCTTGAAACCAGGAGGCAGAGGTTGCAGTGAGCCAAGATTGTGCACTACACTCCAGCCTGGGCAACAGAGCGAGACTCTGTCTCAAAAATCAATAAATAAATAAATAATATTTTTTAAAGGTGGTACATTCTCACCATTTATCACTTCCTAATTACTACATTCTACTATGATGTATGCTCATGGGCTTATTTACATCTATTGTATCTGTGTCGTGGAAATAACACACAATGGCTTGCTACTGCCCATCATTTCTCAATGCCACATTCAGTGACATCTCCATAGCTGGAAATCAGCCATGGTGAGAGTGAGTATTTACACCCCAGGAATTGGCAAATGCTACAGATTGCGGCTGTTTTCTTGGAAATCAGCTCACCGTGTGTATGGGTGAGGGGTGGTCCTGCTGTCCACCCTTCATCATCCATCATCATCTTCCAAATTCTCACCCATTATCAAAGTCACATTGGCACCCTGAGCCAGAGGCTTACAGAGAAGGGCAGTTATGAGAGATGGCAGAGCACAGGCTGATGAAGAGCACAGCCTTGAAAATCCTGCATCCAAACCTCCGGATTTGTTATTTCATGACTGTGTAGCCCTGGACAATTAACTTACCCTCGCCATCTATAAACTGGGGACAATCAGACCTCCCCAACAAAGTTGTTGTGTAACTTCCCACACTAAGCATCTAATAAATGGTAGCTTATTTTGTTGTTGTTTTTTGTTTCTGTCTCCCAAGCTGGAGTGCAGTGGCATGATCTCGGCTCACTACAACCTCCACCTCCCAGGTTCAATCAATTCTCCTGCCTCAGCCTCCTGAGTAGCTGGGACTACAGGCGCGTGCTACTACGCCCGGCTGATTTTTGTATTTTTAGTAGAGATGAGGTTTCACCATGTTGGCCAGGCTGGTCTCAAACTCCTGACCTCAAGTGATCCGCCTGCCTTGGCTTCCCAAAGTGCTGGGATTACAGGCGTGAGCCACTGCGCCCGGCTGCTTCCTTGTTAATAATGTTGAATACATGCCAGCAGTAGTAAGTATAAATGGTGCCCAAGGGTGTACCTCTTTCCCTGTATCCTGATGCCAGGCTAGATTCCAAAACATGGCATCAGGCAGAGCCCACACAGACTAGTCCCTTGGGGGCACCTGTCCTGCAAGTCACCTCTTCATTATGCACCTGTGTCAAATGGAAAATAGAGTGGGGGACACCTGGTGCTTTAAAAAAATACTGACTATATCACAGTGTGACTCCATTTTTGTTTTTTAAAATGCGTTCATTTCAACTATGCCTTAATAAAACCAGGGAGACATATGTTTATGCACCAGCATAGAATGAGGCTAGAACATAATCAGAGCTATTAAAACAGGTTATCCTCATGCCTGTAATCCTAGCACTTTTGGGAGGCCAAGGTGGGTGGATCACCTGAGGTCAGGAGTTCAAGACTAGCCTGACCAACATGGTGAAACCCTGTCTACTAAAAATACAAAAATTAGACCGGCATGGTGATGCATGCCTGTAATCCCAGCTACTCAGGAGGCTGAGGCAAGAGAATGGCTTGAACCCGGGAGGCAGAGGTTGCAGTGAGCCCAGATTGTGCCACTGTACTCCAGCCTGGGCAACAGAGCAAGACTCTGCCTCAAATAAACAACCACAACAACAACAACAACAGGTTATCTCCGGGGTGGAATTCAGGGTGATTTTTTTTGTTTGCTTGTCTTAGTTTTCCAAGATTCCTAAAGGGAACATGTGTTATTTTTGTGAGTAGAGAAGGAAAAAAACAAGTCAGATAACACAGGGAACATTCCAGGAGAGCAAGAGAATGTGGCAGGGCATGGAGACACACTGAAGATTATGGTGCAGGGACAGCTAAGGGTGGGGAAAATCATCTGATCCGAAGTGGAAAAGGGCAGGTGAGAGGCACCCATCTCTCAAGAAGTGTCCCCAGATGGTGCCTAGGTGGAGGGAGGCAGGCCTGGAGGTGAAGGCAGGGCTTCCCGCATGCAGGGGGAAATGAATACCTGCAGCTCTCAGCCCACTGGCCTCTCTGGTGGTGGTTCCCTGGGGGTGGATGGACAAGGGGTCTCTCTGAACTGGACTGCTGCAATAACCACTTGTCCCCCACCCCACCATTTTGCCATCTTCCACTAGACCCTGGCATCACAGACAACCTTCTCTAACCCAGACTTGATCTGGCAGATCCATATTTAGAAACTTACTAGGGCAGTCAGGCACGATGGTTCACGCTTGTAATCCCAGCACTTTTGGAGGCCGAGGCAGTTGGATCACCTGAGATCAAGAGTTCAAGACCAGCCTGACCAACACGGAGAAACCCCATCTCTACTAAAAATACAAAATTAGCCGGGCGTGGTGGCAGGCGCCTGTAATCCCAGCTAGTCGGGAGGCTAAGGCAGGAGAATCGCTT